GAGCCCTGATAAAGCCAAGAGACTTTAGAAATTCTGTGAAACACTGTTTTCACCTCAAGTTGAGTGTTCTGCTGAACCCTGCAGTGGCTGTTGGTGATGCTCATCTGCAACGTGTCCTTCCAAAATTCCACCTCCTTGTGAGGGGCACATCCCCAATTAGTCGGGGGATTTGTTCTGCACGTGCAAATCTTTTCTTGGGCAAGGAAGTGTCACATGGAGACTTGGCTGAAGAAAGCAAGCTGTTTAATCTTAGATGGTAATTGTCATCCTCTGGCTAATGATAAGCAATATTATGGCCTGTGTATCAGCTGTAATTAAGCAGTAAGACACAACAAGGTGTATGTTACACAGAGATAACAGTGCTGAAGAGCCAGTGACCTGCAAAGCCCTTTATCTCCCAGCTGCACGAGCCAGGCTGTGCACGTGTGGCCCAAAGCCACTGTCCCCTCTGCCCCTGCCTGCAGGCTGCTTCTGGGGGCAAAAACGGCAAAGGGGTTGTGTTGTGTGGCTTTTTAACAAAGCTTTTTTCCCGAGTAGTGGATTTCTGCATGTTTAATCAACCAGTGTGAGCCATTCCAAGGTGTTGCTGCCTGGAGCTCTGGGAGATGTTCAGGCCAGGCCCTGCAGGGCTGTGCTGCCCAGGGAGGGGTGGGCTGTGTGGGGAAGGATTCCCAGTTCCAGCAGCAAGGGTCATTTGCTCCAGGAAAGAATCCCTGTTGCTTTCACAGGTAGCAGAGGGAGCTGGAACGTGGGGTTAGAGGGACTTTGTTTCAGGGTAGGATTGGTTTTGGGTTAGAGTTAAAGGCTGGAGGAGTGAAGTCTGTGCTGTCCATGCTGAACACAAAACCTTTCCTGTGGAGCTGCCATTGTCCATGTTGTGCACAGGGTCACCAAGCTGATGCTGCAGGAGCAGGGGATGAAAACCAGGGTGGCACAAGCACCAAACCAAAGGGGATGAGAGCACCCAAGTCCTGCTTCCTCCAGCACAACCCATGCTGTTAATGTAGGGAGCCTAGGGCAAAAGCAGTGCTGGTGGAGGAAACCCCAGTGTGTGAGAGCTTCCAGGAACAGGGAATGTAGAACAGGATCAGCTTTTCCTTGCTGGGTGCAGTTCTGCTGCTTTCCTTCATTCATTAAGTGACCTCAATGAAAGTTTGCAGGGCAAAACACTTTGATGTTGATCAGATTTTCAGCCTAAGCGTCCTGGTCGTGGATCTGCTGCCCCTTGATACTGGGCTGCTGTGGATAATTGCACAAAATTAAAATACAGTGGCTCAAATTGCTGTGTTTTGTTCCTATGTAACAGTCTGTCTCACACTTAGTTATTCATGGTTTCTCCCCCCAGACATACAAATTAGAAAGTCAATGGGATCTTGATAAACAAACTGCTGACAATTTAGTCTGGGCAGAGGGAGAAAAGCAGCAATAAACTGAGGTGAGAACTGTCTGATCTAATCCCTTTTAGCCAGTAATTGCCAGGACTGAGTATGTCTGCATGGATTTCCCAAGTTTGGGGGGATGTTACCCATTCAAGTGTGTGGATTCCTATTTAGCCAAATAATAATTTGCAAGATCTTGAGAAAGATGTGAGCAGAGTGGACATTCCCTTTGTAACCCTGCTGTGCTGTTGTCAGAAGCAGAGATCAGTTCTGAGGGTCGGGATGGCACTGAACCCACTGACCCTGATTTCAGTGGATGTCCTGGATATTATTGTATTAAAACTACAAATACATAAAGTTGGGCTTAATGTAAGAGCAGAGAGACAAGGCAGAGGCCAGAGCCAGCTGTCTGCTCCTCAGAGCCCCTCTCCCGGGTGCGAGTGTTTCTGATTACAGCTGTGCACTGTAAATGCCTGCTCCATGTCTGGGGATAATCCATTCAGAGCAATTACAAGGCATCCGTCACCAGCAGGACCTGAGCCACAGGCTGCTTATCTGGGAAAATTGATGGAAGGGAAGGAGGGAGCGAGGGGAGGAAATCAATGCCTTTCCCCAGCGTTATCTGCCAAATTGAATTAAGCAGCACGGGATCCCTGCGAGCTGCGTGTGGTGTGCCCAGAGCTGGGCAGGGATGGTGGCAGCTGCCCTGGGCAACTTCCCGGGCATCCACTGACACCAGTGGGGCTTGGGTGAGCACAAGGAGTTCAGAACTTCCCATGCAGAATCTCCAAGCCCCCTGCAGCAGGTCCAGCTGGGAGCCTCGGGTCTGTTCCCAGTCCTGATGTACAATCCCATCCTGTGTTCTTTTTTTGGTGTAGCCAAAGTCCCATCCCAGATTTTCCATGCAGAGCGTTGTAGGGAACGCAGCAGGGCTGACATCAGCAAAGATGCAGTAATTGCAGGCTGCAGAGCCAGGACTAGGAAACCTCTATTGCTGAAAAATGCTGCGTGTGTTGAATCCCTTGGCACCACAGTGTAATCCTGAGCTGGGAGCTGCTGCCAGGCAGAGGGGCTGGAATTTGGGGCACAGGGTTTGTGGGGAGTTTAACATGCCAGGAAATGGAACAGGGAAGGTTTGGTGCCATGCCTTCCTCTGCTGCTCCACTCACCTTGTGGGTTGGAAAGGTACCTGAAGGAAATTGGCCCTTTCTGTGTCTGACTGGGCACTTGCTCTGCAAAGCAGTGCTGGAAATGCAGGAGCTGGATTCAGGAATGCTGAGCAGCCCGGGAAGGGACACTCTGCCCTGCTGGGCCTGCAGCTGGCACTGCCAAGGAGACGTTTGGTGGGTGCAGGGATGCCACAGCAGGGCAGTGGCACTTGGGATCCTGCACAGGGAATCCAGCTGTGCTGCCTGAAGTGGTTTCACTCACGGGCTGTGAGGCCAAGAGCTCCGTTCATGCTCTGTTCCTGCACCTGTTTGATCCTTGGCCACATTAAAGGAAGGGTTTAATGGGTTTAACCTTTTCTGACAACAAAGAAATTTCTTGTTCCAGGGCTGGAACTGAGCACACGGAGCAACCCAAAACATTGTATTATAAACAGGGTTTATAAAGGGCTCTTTGTAAACTTTCTTCCCAAGATCATGGTCACTCAAGTTTATGATCCTTATGGTGTTTACAGGAATGAGATTTTGGAGCAAATCTGACCTTTGATGAAGTGAAGCCTCATTTTCTTTTGACTTGTGCAGGTGTCCTCTTGTTCCTTGGTATCTTCCTCAACTGCACAGGTATGGGAGGTGGAAGGGCCAGAGGACTGGGATGGCCGGGCCAGGGTGGCTCTGGGGCAGTTTTATAAAGGTGAAATTCTTAAGGTTCCAGGTTCAGGAGCTGACTCAACAGAAACAAATACAAAGGTAAATCCAAAATGATGAGCCAGAAACCCCACAGATGCTGTGCAGAACAATTGGGCTCAACCAGTCCAGCCCAGAGAGCTGTGGAAAAATTTTTCCCTCGCAAATAAAAGTGTGTGGGAATTTGCATTGCAGTCAGGTAATACTTAAAGTGCACATAAGCCATCTCATAAAAATTCCAGTGGCGTGTACGTCACACAGCTGGGTTTTATTAGAGCCGTGCTCTTCCTCCTGACAGTGCCTTGGAGCTCAGTCTCCATTAACTCTGGCATTCCTGGGCTTCTGCTGCTTCCCAGATTCCTGTCCTTTTCCACACCTTGGATCCCTTCCCTGCAGGATGTGCTTCTTTAATGTCTTTTCAGCAATTGAAGGTGGGAGCACCTAGAAGGTCTGGTTTGAATCCCATGAGCAGTAACAAGGAATCTCATTTCTCCCCAAAATCCCTCAGGCCTCTCCCTGCTCTGTGTGTGTTGAACTTCCCTGTGCTCCATCTGCCAGGTTGGGATCAGGGGGCTGCTCACAGGACACTGGAACCACTGGGGTGCTCTGGTTAACCCCATTTGTGGGATTTTATGGCTCTTTTCAGCTGTGCCCCACACAAGGTTTGGATTTGCCATGTACACCCTGTGTTTGGGTTTTTAGTGGTGTTTTCTGATGGATGGGTAACACAAGCTCTTGAGTAAATCATGAAAAGTTTTTACTCCAGGCCTCAGGAGACTGGATTTTTATTTCTATTTATATTTATTTCAGCTACTTTGAGTTTGGGTCAGTTCAGCTCACTTGGTTATTGAGCAGGTTCAGATCTCAATCCTAATGTGTCTCACTCCTAGTAAACTGAAGTTATTTTGTCAGCAGAACCAGAATTTTCAAACCCAGTTAGTTACCCCTTACCTTACAAGACAGCTTGACTGGGCTTTACCAGTCTGTGCTGTTGCACTCAGAGGTCCTTGGAGACAGAATATATAATTTTTTCAGCCTTTGGTACCAAGCCTTATCAAACCAAATCTAGTTTGCTATTTAGTTTGGAACAGGAATACCCTGACAAGTCTCTCTGAGGAGGAACAGCAGGAGCAATGTTATTTGAACTTTGAATTTCAGGAGCCTGAGTCACAGTAAGGCTGTGCAGGTGGAAGGACAAGGACGTGGATGGCATATGGGGCACAAGATCCCTCCCCAAGGATGTGGAGCTGCATCTAGGGCACAGACCCACCCCTTGGAAAGCTGGGTGAGTCTCAAATAAGAAGAGATTTATTTTTTTAAGCTCTTTGCTCATTCTCCAGCTTTTCCACTGCTTTACAAAGGCATTTCAGAAATGTCCCAGAGCTGTGGAAATTCTGCAGCCACTTCTCAGAAAACCATGAGAGAATTTTCTGACATATGTTTCCATCTCCTGCTTTTTGCATTTTCCCCTCTTGTGTTTCTTTTTCTTTGACCTAGAACAAACTTCTCTATGCTTACAATTCTCACTATTCCAAGGAAATTTCACTGGAGTGTTAGATTTTCCCCACACAGTGGAATGCTGTGATCCCAGTTCAATTCCAGCCTCCTTCCAGCAGCCCTGCAGAGGTTTTGTTAAGTGAGGCCTTGGGGAAGGTCCTTCTCCTGGGCTCTCAGGAAATCAGGGATCAGGTGCTGTGGGATCATCATGAAAGGGGGGAGCAGCACCTCAGCAAAGCACAGAGAACTCCAAAAACATCCCAGAGCTCTTTTATTTTTTTCTGGACAAACAATTTTATTTTCGGTAATGCGTCTATACACTGTACATTCAGTCACTGTGGTATATAAGCATAGCTATTTTCATACATAATCTCATAAAGTCCTTTATTTTACAATATTATCTGCATCAGGGGGAGGGGACGTGGAAAAGGGGGTGGAAAAGGACTATCAAGGTACACAGCGAAATAGATAAATATGCCAAGCTTTTTTCTTATTTTTTTTTAAATCAGGCATTTATAAACAAGAAAGCATACATTACTTACATAAAAATAGTTCTAGAATAGTAGAGTAAGTCATAATATTGTCATTAGCAGCAGCATAGGAGAGATCAGGATAACAAAAATGTGCTGAAATGCTATTGGCTATTATAAATGTAAAGATTTATTTTTCTTCAATTGAAAAAATGTCATTTCTGTGAGTTCTTTCAATAAAAAAAAAAGAAAACAAAACAAAACCAAAAAAAACCAAAAACAACAACCAAGCCAACAAAAAACTTCTCTCTAAAACACATGGACTGCTGAGAGGGCAGAATGGAACAAAAACCAACCTTTTGGTAATAAAATACTTTACAGTGAAAATAAGGACAAATAAAATGCAAATGATGGAGAAAAGGTTATAACCCACATTGAAAACTTGCAAAAAGATTTTGTTTTGTTTTTTTCCTAACAGACAGCAAAGGTTCTTCTCAGTTAAAAACACAACTCATAAAACAAGACAACTACCAGGTAAGAAAGAGTTTTGAAAAAGTAAACACCATATACACTTATAATACAACAGTGTAAAATGAAAAAAAGTATTTACATGTTGAATTTACTTTTAATGTTTTTTTACATTGGCTAGTTCTGTTTGAAAAGCAGAATATTATGTATAGAGTTAGCTGCTCCATAGATATGAATGTTATTGCTGTTGGTTTTTTTTTTCCCTTCGTTAAATCTTCGTTCAGTAATAGAAACAAGGAGTAATTAAACTGAATATACAAGTAGTAATATATTTGTAGGTACAGGGAGAGTCAACAGCCTGTATGAAACACCTCTTCTCCCTTGGAACTTCTTAAAGGAAACTAAAGCACAGAAGATGGGGGGATGGAGGGGCAGCCCCTGTCCCTGGGAATGGAGTGGGGCTGCAGCAGAGGAATTCCACGGACCAGGCTGGCACAGCTTTACTGAGGTGTTGCAGACACAGGAGTGACCCCAGAGCTCCCTGGCCTCGAGCACCTTCACACGGGGGCTGCTCTGCAGAGCCCCCTGCAGAATCCCCTGGGGCTGGGACAGAGACACTGCTAAGGACTCGAATTAGAAATAAATCCCACTCTGCAGAAATAGCTGCCCTGTCCTGCAGAATGAACTAACTGATTGTTGCACATGGTTATTAGCAAATGCCCGGCAGTTTAAGCCAGACCCAGCCCTGCGAGCTCCTCCTGGGCAGGGGCTGCTGCTGGACAATGTTTGTTCCTGCTCTTCTTGCACCTTATTTATCTTCATGCTTTTGAACTTAATTGCTAGAAATGGCCTTTCTCTCCCAAGGAGCAGATCCTAGGGAGTCTTGGGGCGAGTTCACCTGCAGGTATGGATGGCCCTGCATGGAGTGACTGAGTGGGGCAGGGAGGAAAGCCCCAGCTGTAATTCTGGTTTGGAGACTCTGTGCTGCCCCTGGGACCTTTACCTGTGCAGCACAGGTGAGGCTGCTTGGTGCTGATTGACTATTCTACTGTTCTGCTTTTTTCCTTTAAAAATCCTGCAGATTTTCTTCCTTCAGATGTGTGAGAGTCTCATGCCCAGTGAGTGACTGCATTTCCCTGGACACAAAAAGGAAAACTCAAGGTGTGCTCAAGTGAGTGGCTTTTTCTGGGAGACAACAGCTGGACATGGACATGTTGCTGTTTTTTGGGGACTATGAAGGGAGTGAAACTATCACATATCAGGGGCAAAAACCCAAACAAGCAAAATTTCCAAAGCCAGGCTTCCATGAGCCACCACAGGAGCGGGGTCTGTTCTCTGTGTGGTTCCCAACACGGCAGTAAAGCAGAGCACAAGAGACTTGAAATGCACAAAAATGATCAGCTACAGCTACAGTTGTTTAGTTTCCCTTGAAGAAATAAGTGGATAATACAGATCTGGAAATCATAAGGCTGAGAACATTTTTCTGCATACTGCATAACAAAAGAACCCCTTTACATAAGACAGTAATAATGCCCATTAATGACTATATGGCAGAGTTTAATCCATGCATATGATTTAATAATCGCAGAAAAAAAACATACAAAGAAAATAAAACCCCACATTAAAAAAAAAACAAAAACAAAACCTGCTCAAGCATAATCAAAATTCCTTTTGCATTGCACTTTAGAAGGAGATCTGCACCTAGAGTCAGTCTCCAGCATCCCAAACACACAAGGGCCAACCCCTGTATCCACAGATAGGTTCAGGTCATTGACTTGGTGTGACTGTATCTTGCTCCCAACAGTTTTACATTGTCCCAGTAATTCCACTCCTTTCGTATGTCTTCTTTTTTGTACCTAAAACATATATATGAACTTCTTTGTTAATGCTCACAGTTACTATAATGATTACTATAATGGTTCCAAGCAAACAGCTTTTGTTTAAAAAAAAAAATCTCTCTAATGTACTGTAAGTAAATACCATAATTTTAGGATTGGAAGCCGCTTTCTGTCTACTGGGAAATAATTTTGAAGCTTACATGGTTTGCATTAATGTCCAAAAGCAAACAAAGACTACTGGAAATATGTTTCTTCTTTTAGAATAACTCTGGGTATGATGATGCATAGGGGGTTCTTTTTTTTTTTTTTTTCCTTTTTTAATTATTATTCTTTAAGGTAAAAAAGTGTCAGCATTGCCTAGAGAAGATGCTGAGAGGAAAAATGAGCTGGAAGGCACATCTGCAGCCCCAGATCACATTTTCACTTGCTTGAGCGTGTCAGAGGTGAGTGTTTATGGGTAAAAATTAATTTTCTCCTGATCAGTAAAGCACCAGCTTTATTTATTAAACACTTTTGGGAGCATCTCTGCTGCTCCCCAGCTTGGGTGATACACAGCCACAAAACCAGGTTCTAACTGAACCAGCAGCACAGGGGGAATTCCTGCTCTGGGGATTCTGGACCTGCTGGATCCTCCTTTGCTTACACGGATGCTGATGGGGGTGTCAGTGGTGGCAGATTGGGTTCATGGTTTGCACAGCTGTTAGGGCAGAATCTCAAATGCTTGACATGTACGTCTTAGAAACAGGGAATAAAATGCAGAGTAAGATTCTGAAAAGTGCAGGTTTAAAAAAAAATATAAAAAACCTCAGCACCACCCCCAAGGCAGTGATGGTTTGCTGCATTGTATCCCGGGGCCGCGGCTTGGATCCCAAAATTAAAGTAATTGCTCTTTTTAAAAACAAAAAAGTTTTTTTAAAAAAAGATGTAGGCTTATTCACAGCAGCAAAAATGTTGGTTTTCTGTTCTGTAGTATCCGACACTGCAACGTTGGACTCTCCTTGGGCACAGAAATCCTGACTGACAGTTCGGAATGGAAGCAGGGAAATACTGAATTCATGGTAAGATGGTGCAACAAGATGAGTTTTCCAGAAAACTGAAAGCTGAAGATTTTTCAGAATGACTTCAACACACAGATGTCTCTGCTTTGTTCCTCTACCAACTGATCATCCATTTCCTTCCTTTCTTCCTTTCTCTCTTTCTTTTCCCAAGGCTGACGTGCTCCTGGGTGAAGTCTCTGAACACAGGGGGGTCTGTGGGGCTGGGCTGGGGCTCTCAATCCAACCCCTTCTCCTCCCCTCACCCCCTGCACACTCCTGCAGCTTCCCTTCTTCCTGTGTCCAGGGCAGGAAATGGACATCATTCATTCTAAGGAAAAAAATCAACTTGGAAAAGCAACTCTGAACTTCTCCTACACCCACGTGATGGGATGGAACCGTGATGGCTTCTGAGATGGCTGGAAAGCTGCTCCTGACATGGATGGCATCATCACCACTGAGGGGCTTCTGCACAAAGAATCCCAAAGCCTATAAAGTCATTAAAAATTGTGCATCGAAGGTTTTTTTTTTTTTGTCTTTTTTTTGTCGTTGTTTTGCTTTTAAAGGTTCATTATAAAAATCTTGTTAATTTTTTTTTTTAATACCAAGTCTGTGTAATGAATTATTTTAAATAGCTTATAAGAAAAGTCGGTTTGTTTTTAAATTCCAAAATGTTCCAACAGGCAGGAGAACACAAAGCCACTGCCGTGCTCACCTTGGACTCCGGGTTTAGCTGGACCACACTGCTTTGCTTAGAGTTTGCCAGTAGAAAATTTTGCTGTGGACTTAAAAGTATTTTGTTTACAAACACTTTGTGTTTTCTAGGCACAGTAAGATGTTGTGCTATATGGATTGGGAAAAAAAAGAGGCGGAATTCAGTGCTTCTGTTCTAGAGAGTAACAACATTTGCCTTCCAACTACTGAGAATCCATATTCCTAAAGTGTGTGCCAGGACACCACTACTCACACGTGCACTCCCAGTCCCACTCTCTCCCTCCCTGTGCTGGGGGATGAGGGGTCAGTTCTCCATGGGGCTCGAGGTGCTCTCACTGCTGGGCTGGCTGCTGGCTTTGGGCCACAGTTGTTCCTGAAGTTCCTTGACCACCTTCTCCAGGTGCTCCCGGGCCTCCCGCTCGTGCAGGAGGTCGGCGCGGAGCTGCTCGCGGTCGGCCTCGGCGTGCTGCAGCTTCACCTGCAGGTCCTCGATCTGTGGGACAGGAGACAGGGCTGTGGGACACGGGCTGGGCAGAGCCTGTGCCTCCCACAGACCTTGCACAGGGCCAGGGCAACAAGAAAATGTGTATTCCATGCATAGGATTATCAGGATTGAGGAAGGAATTCCCTGTTCCTTTTTTCCATGCACTACTGCAGTACAGTGCTTGCTTAGCTTTGAAACCTAAACTTTCCCAGTGACTCCAGCTACAGAAAGGAAGGTGAAAACCAGAAGAGTTAAGAAACAGTTCAAGAATTTCTTAGTGCCACACAACTCTGGTCACTTCTTCAAGCATGACTGCTATTTCTTAAGGCAGTGACAGCAGCTCTGCAAAGCAAACCCCAGGTGCTGGCACAGGGGATTCACTTTCAGCTCTTCTGCAATGATTGTTAATGGAAGTGACCAGAAAGGGCCTTGGCTGCTAATGGGCCAGGCCCTCCCAGATATGAGTGTCCCCACTCTGCTCCCAGCAGGACCTGCAGCTGCCCTCGGCCTTCCTGATCTCCCTGTTTGGTACTTTCTGACAGAAAAGGCAAAGAAAACCCCCAGGGCTGGATCAGAGAAGCAGCACCCAGTGAGAAAGGAAATATCAGCTGTCAGCAAAGATTGCCATTAACAAGGAAACCTCCAACATTTTGGGCTAAAATGCAGGTAAACCTCCCCCCATCCATGTTTGGATTTCAGTATCAAGGTAAGAAAAAGGAAGGCATAAACCACAGCTCCTCAATGGGTATTAAGCATCTAGTACTTTAAGCCTACACTAAAGTACTTAAAGAGGCATTTCCACCCTGACTCTGTTGCCTTCTCTCACCCTGGCCTGACGCTGTTTCTGTCAGACTGAGTGTCTAGAGAACTGCGGTTTCCTCAAAAATAGAATGTGACCAACTTCCTCTTGCACCCCAAGCTGTAGCTACAAGGGTGTATAAAGCTTTATTTTAAAATTTTTCAAGACTTAAGAACTTCAGTTATAATGACATCTTATAAAATTCAGCCTTGGGAGTGAGTTACTCACAGGAATTCTGTTACCAGCTGTGCCAGCCACAAAACAGGAGCTGCCACGTGCCCTTTGCCCAAGGACAGCTCTGGGGGATCAGGGGTGGCTATCACAGGGGGCTGCTGCAGGGGACACTGCCAACCTGCCAGGCCCAGCCTCAGAAAAGAGGAATAATTGGTTTCTTGAGTTCTTTTTGAGGTGATGTTCAGCCTTTAAGCTTAGAGGAGGGAATGCATTAAGAGACTGAAAATGCCCAGTGTCACAGAGTCACCCCCAGGACACAGCGGAGCCCCCAGGCCCAGCCCAGGCCGTGTTCACCTGCCCTGGTGTTGCTCCCCAGGGCCCGGGGGGCACGCCCAGCACAGCAGCCCCAGGGAGGCTCTGTTTAGTCTGGACACCCCTTATCAGTGAGACATCCTGTGATGCTGAGAGGAAGCCCCACATCATTTCCTGCTCCTGGCCAGACGTGTCTCAGCGGGAGCAGGCGGCCACTCCCCTTCCCTTATCAGAGCCCTGGAGATTGTGAGCTTTGCTTCTGCTCTTCCCCTCCTCCCTTAAAGCCACCACAGCAGAGACCTGCAGCTCCCACCTGCAGGAGCACCTGTGGCTCACAACAGGCTGCTCCAGCACTCCTGGAATTCCCTCTGCCACCAGCTTTTCAGGGCTCTGTTAGACTATGTGAAGTATTTGAAGTATATATAAATACACACAAATTAAACAGTAGCTTTTGAGGGCTCCCTTTACCAGGGGAGGCCCTGCACACCTCTGTGGCAGGTGCATGGAATGAGTTTAAATTCAGGCCCCGTTTTTTGGACTCCTGCTGGCCCCTGCCCTCTGTTGCTGCCTGTCCCAGCTCAGGAGCAGGGCTGGGAGCAGGAGGGAGCTGAGGAGCTGCTGCAGCCCCTGCTGGGCCTCACCTGTGCCGAGTACTTGGCCCGGAGCCTGTCGGCCTCGCAGCCCTTGTCGCACACGCGGATCTGCCGCGCCTGCTCCAGCTCCCTCTTCAGCCGGATCCGGGACTCGTTGGCCTCCTTCATCTTCTTCTCGTTCTCGGCTCGCAGGCGCTCGATCTCCTTCCGCAGGTTGCGCTTGGCCTCGGTTGCTTCCCTCAGCTTCTCCTTCTTGGCCACTCGCAGGAACTCCAGCTCCTGGGACACAGAGGCAGGTAAGGAGTGAGCGCAAGGAAGCAGAGCTGCAAGGGAAGCCATCCAAGCCACATTCCCACCTCCTGCTGGTTGTGACCCAGGCAGCCCATGGCTAAACCCCTCTCTGAACTTTGCACCAGCCCTTCTCCTTTAAATCCTGTGGAGTTCTTGCACTCCAGCTACCCTGAAGCCCAGGATAACAAAAAGCTCAGCGCTACAGCCCCATTTTGCTTTGTCAAGCAGAATAGCTGCGACCATCTGGGCCTGAATAAAGATGAACTGCAGTTGGAGAGAGCTCCAGCACCAGCTCCACGTTCCAAACCACCCGACTGCAGTGCCTGGGCTGGAGCTGAAGGCTCTGAAGATGCACAATGTGGAAAGTGCAGTTCTGAGTGTCCTTTGTGTACAGCAAAGCTCAACAGGACATCAGAAATCAGCTCCATTTTATCAAGCCCCCCACCAAAAATCCACTCAAGGCAAGGACAGAACACAAATTGTGTCTTTCCTAGCTCTGGGGTGCTGTAGGTGACTGAGGCGAGCCCCAGGACTCCTGACAACCAGCTCATGGACTGCTCTGTCACAAGAGCTGGGAAACTCTAGGCTAAAACCTGAAGCTGAATGGAAACCAGACTTTGCTCTGGGAACTGCCACTCCCCGTGTCCAGGCTGGGAGCTGCTGCCTTGGAATATCAAATCCATGAGGGAACCATTAATTGAAGTGATAATGATAAGGAACCTTCAAGGTGCAAAGAAAGAAACCCTTAAGTTGTTAAACTACATGCTCACAGCAAGCACAGAGATGTGGCTCACGTTTCCCAAATGGTTAAATTTGAAACTAAAGATCTATTTTTTACCCCAGAAGCAGCATTTCCTCCCTGTCCGAGTCAAACGCTTCAGCCCCCGTTGCTGTGAAGTAGCACTGCAGGGTCATGGGAAATTCACTCTTTTGACAATCTCACTTCCCAGCCAGGCTGGAAGTTAGCTTGGCCATGCCTCTGGAAATGCACACACAACCCCTGGAAATGCACACACAACACCTCGAAATGCACACACAGCCCCTGGAAATGCACACACACACACACACACACACACACACACACACAAACTTCTCTTCTGTGTGTGGAACTGGGACCCCACCCCTTCCCAAATGGAGAACAAAGGTTGGACACCAGAGTCCCCTGCCCCTGACACAGGGCTTGACTTAACACTCAACTGCTTCATGTAACTCCTACTTTAAGTACACACTATTTAGGTATTACACATAAAAGTTTACTTTTAAATACATAAAATAAAACACAGATTTACCAGAACACAAAAGAATTAAGCAATTTGCTCAGGGTAACTAAAAAAGAGAGCATCAGGGCTGGTTTTGTGCCTCCCACACTCGATCAAACCAGGCCCTCAGTTATTCCATCCCATGGATTCCAGCCCCAGCTTGGGCACAGCTCTACACCAAATCCTCAAAGAGGACACACAAATCTTCTACCCTGGCTGGCTCCCTCTTCTGTTTCTCTGCACTCTTTTTACCCCAGCTCAAATAAAAGGCAGTTCCCCCACCACTGTGCTCAGCCCTGACCTGCAGCCCTGCCTGACCATGGGTACAACTGATGGATCCAGGATTTCCAGAAATAAGAAATAAGGAGCTGCCTCCCTGCCTGAAGCTCAGCAGCGTGGCCAGTGGGATGCCTGACAAAGGCCTTACTTCAGCTGTGGCCGTGTCCCAGGAACACCCTCCCTCACAGAGCCTTTAAAACTCCAACTAAAGCCTCCAGAAATGTTTCCTGTTCAGTGAAATGAAAACAAAATAAATTCTGCTGGACTAGAAGATTTTTTCAGTAATGAAAAGATGTTGATTTTGGTAACCATGGATTTATAACCCAAGGAAAAACAGGTGGCAAGCTTAAAAACATAAGACTGGTTCCCGTGCTTTAGTTTCCCGGCTGGATTTACAAACAGAGCCCCAGCAAAGGCTGTTGCTATTTGGGAAAAATGAGGCAATTCCTTTTTCAGAGCTCCCTGCTGGGCTGTACCTGGCAGGGCATGGGCAGGGCAGGGCAGCCTTACCTGGTGCAGGCTGCGCTTGGCCTGCAGGGCTGCGTTCAGCTTCTCCTCCTGCTTCACCCTCATCTTCACTACCTCGTGCAGGAACTTCTCTTTGGCTTCTTTTGTGTCCAGGCCGCTGTCCAGGGCCTGCCTGAGGTGCTCCAGCTCAGCCTCCAGCCCGCTGCTGTGGGGGTCGGGGTGTGCAGCCACCTCGTAGGAGCTGTTAACGGGGGCCGGGGGCTGCATCCCAGGGGAGCTCATGTCCTTGGCAGAGCTGGAGGAGGTGAAGGATGGGGAGGAGAGCGAGGATAAGGAGGAGGTGACTGGAAAACAGAAACATTGAAAATTAATTTTAAAATGTCAATAATTAAGACATAATTATATACAACTCATATATATATTATACAGCTCAAAATGTGCTGAGGCCCTTTTGTACAGAGACACTTGATAATCAATTTTAAATAGGAAAGGAAATGAAAAACCTACTCATTTTATACTTTGATACTTGAAAAATAATGAAAATGCAACCTTGACTTAAGGGATTGAGTTCAATTTGTTTGAACTGTGACTGTGCAACTCATGTCACAAAGGTACCATTGAGGCACTGGGCTTCCAGAATTCCATTTAACCCCCACAGAAACCCCTGCAAAAACCCAGTCCAAATAAAGGCAGCCACAAGTGCCACTTACATTCTTCCCTGGTTTCTACTTCAATCTCTGCTTCCGACTCCTTGTCCTCCTCGGGGGCGGTGGTGGCCGCGGTGGCCGCGGTGGCCTCGGGGACAGCCGTGTGCTCTGTGCCGTGTTTCCTCTTCCTCGGCTGGGCAGAGCCCAGGGCCTCGCTGCTCCGGGACACCACGGTGGCACAGGGCGGGTTACTCACGATCTTCTGCTGGGCTGGAGGGGCCAGGGCCACGTTGGGGGCCACGGCGCTCTCAAAGCTCTTGTAGGAGTAAAAGCTGGTCCAGGGGGGAGGCAAAAGGAAGGAGAAAATGGTCACATTCCTGGCTTTGGAGAGCTTCCCACCCAGAGTTACACTGCAAACACCCACGGGAATGGCAATGAATCCCACGGATTTACGGCAGCTGAGAGCCTGCCCATGGTACTGTTCAGTGTTTTGCCCTCATTAAACCCAGGGATCCCATCCCAAGTGCCACATATCCTTAGAGCATCAAGGAGATGAGATCTTCCAGAGCCTAAAAGTCCTAAAGCTGTTTCCTCCTGCTCTTCCTGGCACTGTTGTTTTAACCAACTGGACTATTGTCTATCCACAAATGTTTTGTAAACTCAAAACAGCAATTCCTTAAGGAAAACCATGGAGTGGAAAAGCATCTTCTTGTGCCTCTGTGATTCTGGTACACATCTGAGTGTCCATGTGTAAAAGCACAGCTACAACAACCAACAAACCTTTGGTTAAACCTCGGTGTTAAAGGGGAGCATTAACACGACATCAAGCACATGGAATTTTGCAAAAAGCAGTGCAAAGACTGCAATTTCAATTCAGTACCCAGAACATGATGTGGTATCAGTTAAAATTTCTGCTGGAGCTGTTGTAGGTGGGTTTTATCCAATACTGAAATCAGCCAAGTTTCTCACAGGGATGCCAAGGACATTTGCACCACTTCTCTCCCTACCTAGTTTAAAAAATCAGGATATGCTGATAGGCATTTTCCCTTCTATTTTCCTTTTTTAAAAATCAATCCCCACAGCTTCTAAGAAATTTGTTCATAAGGGCAGTACCGTATGTTCTCCATAATATTCCCTAAAAACACCTGGTCACTTAAGTCAAACTTTCCAAAGAAATCATCACCCTCAGGCAGAGATCAGGCTCAGAGGTTTTTCAGACTGCACAGCTCCAGTCTGGCACAGGGATGCCGAACTGCCCCGACACTTTCTGTCTCAGTGTGACACCAAGGTCCCACCTGCTGTGGGTGACTCCCTCAGGGCTGCTCCTCTCCAAGAGCAGAGCGTGGCTTCGGTGTCTGGATGCTCTGGCAGGAGCCAGGACCCCCAGGGCCAGGGCACACAGAGGGTTTGGGGAAATCCCTGCTGCCCTTCAGCCTCCCTGGCACTGTGGGGAGGGGGGAGGATGGAGCTGTGCTGGGAGCCTGGAGCTGGTACCACGGACAGGGGCCTGGGAATGGCTGCATCTCCCTGACCCCTGCCCCAGGACAGGGACTCCATCCTGCCAAGACCCTCAGTGACCACCCCTTCCCTTCACAGCAGCCTCCACCTGACACTTCTATGGCAGGGTCACCTTTAAATCCCCTTCCCACATTAACCAGCGACACTCGCGGTGTTTCCTTTCTGCAAACTAAACCCCTGCAGCTGCAAACGCTCCGAGGGAGCGTGGGACAAACGCAGAGGCACCTGGCAGCCCGAGCCCCCGTCCTGTGTCCTTACCTGTCCCGGATCAGGGCGGGCAGGTGGCTGGAGAGCTCCTTCTCGCTGGCAGACACCGCGGGGGACCAGGGCCGGAAGGCGGAGAGGCGCTGCCGCGGGTGGACGCAGCCGATGCTCTGGGGACAGGGCAGGACATGAGTGACCCCACAACCTCTGACGCCCTCAGTCCCCACAGAGGGGACCTCAGTCAGCCCCACAGCTGCTCCCCACTGCCACGACCTCCTCGCTCAGGGGTCCCACCGGCACTCGTGGGTTTTGCTGGCCAACGAGCTCTGTGTAGTTTGTAGGGATCACAAACAGCTCCTGAGCCTTGCAGGATTCCTGCACCTCAAAGGCACAAGGGAATTCCTTCCTTCCCTGTCACAATCCAGGTCAATGAGCACTGGAGGGTGACAAGGAATCTGGGGGGACTGTGTAGCTCAGTGCTGACTAGGAAAAGGATAGAAATGTTACTAATTTAGAAACCCTGGGCATATTCTTTCCCTCATTTTCTCCTCTGGTCTCAGTAAAGTGATGCTTTGTGCCAATTTGATCTCTCTTGATTACAAAATATTCAACAATCACCTTATTAGATGAACTGGATAAGGACCGTAACCAACTGGACTGTTTTTCCTTCTCAGTAGAAGCTGGAGATTGGGAAGCAGAGTCATCTACTTTGGGCTTTTTGGAAGCAGGAGGATCTGAAGAGACCTGAAACAAAGGCAGGAAAAATCAAAGTCAGATTCCTCATTTTGCAATCAGCTTAGAAACAAGTTATAAGGCAGAAGGAAATTTTGTTATTTAGAAGGAAGAAACTCTGGGTGTTTTTCTTCTTTTTTTCAAATGTAAGGCCAAACAAAGGAGTGCAAACAAGGGGCAGACACAGACTGTGACATAACACACTTCACTCCTTTTCATGGGAGACACTCAGGTCAAGTGTGCATGGCACAGGAGAGATGGGCACTGATCAAAGGGAGACACTCGCTCCAAGCTGAAGAGAACTATCAGCCTTTTATGATTTTTGCATGCAGAAAGGTAAGTTTAATGTGGTTGCTGAACTGGAAAGATTATTTTAAACGAGAACAGAACAGACTTTGTTATTCTGTTTGCAGTGGTTGTTATGCCGATGACTTCACTACCCCACAGCTGCAGTGGATTCTGGGGGTGCTGCCAAGAGCTGCTTTGCCTTTTCCACAAGTGGCTCAGCTTGGCCCATAAATCATCCTCAAGCATAAGAAAGCCCTTTGGCAAGCAAAATCCCTTTCCTTCAACACTGTGAAGGAATAAAATTCCTATAGTCCCAGCGTGGCTTGCAAAAAAATTGGTAACTACTGGTTTAACTGGTGCACTGGGGATACCAGCTTGAAGGCCTGCCAGTACAAACACCTCTCACAGCAGGGAGGGAGAAGGTTCTGGACCTTGTGCTGCATCATGACCAGAAACAATAAAAGAAACATCCCACCCTGTTTCTGCTCCTTTTTGTGCCTTTTTGCAGTTCTGAACTCTCCACCTCTCCCCATTCCCACTCAGCCTGGCAGAACCACATTGCAGTAATTAATGATTGCTCATCTTTGCATTCATTTGTTTCATCCTTTCACTTCACCGTGATTTTGGTGGGCAAACAAGCATTGATCCAGGTGTGTCTGGAGAACCTGGGGCTGGCAATATCCTGGGAGCCTGAAATGCTCCAGCCCAGGTGTCCCTCCCAGTGACAGGAAGGGTCTCATTTACCAATGTCCTGTGCTCTGAAAATCAGTCCCCTCAAGGCATCTTCAGCTGGGAACTCAGAGGCTGCTTCTCTTGGTGATGCTGAGCCCTGAGCATTGTGATTTAAATTATTTACCTGAAAAGCATCTGCAGAATTGTCCAAGTGCCCTTTTTTGGACTCTCTACCCAAGAGCTCTCTAACTGCACCCCATTAGCACCCTGATTAGGAGGAAATTACAGCCTCACATCCATGCAGAGCCTGCTGCTCCTATGGGAGCAGGGCAGATGATTCTCCAGCCCATGCCAGCCCATCTGGCAGCACCCCCTTGCTGCCCTCACAGCCCAGAGTGCCCAGCCACGTCACCAAGCCAAGCCTGGAGGGCTCAGCACAACATTCCCTGGCACTGGGGAGCTCAGGGCAGCTTTCCATACGTAGCAGATGAAGGAGGATGAGATGGGAGGGGTGGGTGTGTGTGTGTGTAACCCCCAGGACAAAATTAGCCCATGCCAGTGCCAAATTCCAGCTCCATGGGATTTGCAGCAGATTCTTTGGGCACAGCTTCAGGCTTCCCCAGGGCTGCCTCCTGCCCAGCCAGGGCATGGGCCCTCCCCTCAGACCCAACTAGGAAAAGGCATTCCTGAGCCCTTCTGTAGAAAACACAGGACAATGCACTGGAAAAGATTTGTTTTTGCTCTCGGAGATGCTGCCTGTGCAGAATTAGTGACAGCATGGGAAAGGCATTTGGCAAGTGGCTCCTGATCCCAGCCCGATCCACTGGGGATGGGGAGCTGTGTGGGGAGGGGAGCTCGGCCTGCAGGGTGGGGAGGAAGGGGGGCTTGGAATGAAAAAGGCAACAGGTGGCAAGACTCAGCATGGAACCCGTCCCTCCCCCCGTCCGTCCGTCCATCCGTCCTGAACATTCTGTCCCAGGAAGGGGCCCAGAGCAGCCCCAGCACCCCCAGCCCTGGAAACGGGGAGCAGGGACAACCCTAGAAAGGCTGGGGGGAGATGTTTCAACAGAATGATCTCGTCTGCATTTTTAAAGGAATTCTCTCAATCTTTCTCTGCTGTCCCCCTTCTTTTGCATTCCAGTCAAGGCTGACCCCAAGGACCAGGAGGGTCTGAGCACAGAACCTGGGAAATGCTGCTTCACCTCCATGTCCAGAAGCCTGTGCTGATCTGGAAACTTGGGGTGCAGCTGGAAAAAAGCAGCAAAGGAGGTGTGTACACAGGGGAAAACAGAGCTGTCCTCCCTCAGAGGGATGGGAAGGGGCAAAGAAGGAGGTTTTTCTACCCTGAAGTCGTCTCCCACCCCAGGCACCCCTGAGAACCCAGAGCTGCCTGGCTGGAGCAGCACGCCAGGGGACCCAGGGCTGCTCTGGGAGCTGCTGTGCTGACTCCTCCAGTCTCTCCATCCCTGTCCCACCTGGATTCCACAGATCATCTGCTGCTTAAGGCAGGAATTGCCTCTTGGTAGATGCTTTTAAAAAACCACCTTGGATTTAGGTTTCACCTTAACAACATGAAAATGCAACAATTCCAGTAGTTTCTACTACAGGAAGAGACTCAGATGTGGAACAAGACAGACACTGAGCACCAAATCTCCTCTCCATGTGACTCAGCCATTACATCCCACTCCAGGACAGATTCCAGGCACCAAGATACCCCACTCTGACACTTCCAGCCCAGCCACAGCAGCCAACAAACCTTGGTGCTGCTTCAAATGGGGATGATTTGATTTCATTTTTTCCTCTGTGCCAAATAATGAAACACACACCAAGTTGCAAAAGAAATACTGAAAATACAATCTAGCTTTTTTACCATCTTCATGAACGATTTATGAAACACTCAAACAAAAACTTGAGAAGACTGAAAGAAATATTTCCTTATTTCCTATTCATTTCTATTTCCATTGGAGGCAACTTAATAATCTGCTGTCAAATGGGCTTTGTGCTGGACACAACCACTTGTTAATGAACATTTTCTCCAATCCTCAGATGGAAGAAACTTCAGGACACAAAGTGGGCCCAGAAATGCTTACGCGAAACATTTCCTTAAGCTTTGGGACTGTTGGTTTCTGAAACAAATTTTAGGGAAAAATAGATACAGAAAGATTTATACAGTCACTAAAAAAAGATTCCAGAGGTACATTCCAAAGGGAAATTTGGGCCTGTGAACTTTGCCAGCCATTTTAAGGCAAACCGAAATGAGGCGGCTCAGCTTGGCCTGCAGCCAGCCAGGGCCACATTTGACATGTCAGATCAAATTTTCTACTTCAATTAAATATTACAGTAACAAACCATGAGACCAGTGGAAAGAATTTTTGACCCTCTCCTTCTCAGGAAGACAAACCTTTCCTGGAGCTCAGTACCAAGAGCAGAACCAGCAGCTGCAGGTCAGGCACCTCAACAACACCTTTTGCAATGGAAAATGAGCCCAGAAAAAAAAATCTCATATTTTAAGATGTGGGAGTGCTCTCAGGTATGCTTCTTGGTGCACAAGTATCTACCAAATTACATTTCCTGAATAATTCACTTTTTTTTCCCTGCTGTATCCCAGTGTCACACACCTGGACTGAGCAAAGGCTTTTGCTCCCTCCTCATCCTTTGCTACTCTGCCCCAAACCCACAGCACGTGGTAGTGAAAACTGGGCTGGTTTTGCCTTGTTAAGAATGAAAACATCAACAAATGGAAAACACTTAGGAGGCCTCTATGCCTGTGAATTTTTAGCTTGGAAATGTCCCTTCAAAAATCAGCCCATGCTCCAAATCCTTGCCTACTCTCTGCTGCTAAAATCTCCCCAAACTGGGTCTGAGTTGGGCAATAAATCCCAAAACCTGGTTAAAGATGGAGATCTCGTAAAACAGAGCAGTGGCAGAGGTTTATCTGAGCTGGTCACCCTTCCCAGGCAGTGTGTCTGCATTTCTGTGCTGCTTCCACTGGGGAATCCATCCCTTGGCCTCGTCTGCTCCTTTACAACAGGGATGGGAAATGTGGGCCCCAGCCTAGCAGGAATCCTGGCACATCATGTGGCATCTTTAGAAATAAAAGATTTAATGTCCCCAAAGCTACTGAGTTATCCCAACGCAGAGAAATCTGCATTCTTGAAAAAATTAATTGGCAAAAAACTGCGAGGCTGAAGAATTCCGTTTTGTATCCTTAAGGCAGGTGTAAATCAGAAACCATCCGCTGGAAAACCCGCAGCTGGAAAAGCAGGGATAAACAGAGAAAATAAAAACTGGGCTGTAAATCTACAGTGTCCTCTCATTCTGTCGGGCTGCTGCTCATTCTCAGCCTGGAGTTACACCCCAGGACGGGTGGAGCTTCCTGTCCCCCATGGGTCCCCAAACGCCGCCGCTTTCTCAGCAGGGCAGCGACCAGCGGGGCTGGGATGATGCAAAGGCAGAGCAAGGCAGGGTGAAACCACAGAGCAGCACAGAGCCAACAGGGAGCACCCCTGCCACCAGAGGAGCTGCCAATCCCTGCACTTCATGATGCTCTAGCTCCAGAAAATATCTGTATAAACCGAGGGTGAGCAATCCCTGTCTGAGCCCGGTTCCTGCTCCGCGGAGGGCACGCTGAGAAATGCAAGGGGAATTGAGAAAGAGAATTTCCAGGGTCTGTTCTGGGTGGCTTTCCTGGTTCACTTGTGTGACCACAGAGCGCTCGCACCCAGCTGAGCAGCAGACAGAAATGGGTAACACCACTGACCCATTTTGAAAGGGTGCCATGACATTTATCTCCTGCTTTTACTCGGGACAGAAGGATGCAGAGTTTTATTTTAAGGCCAGTGAGTGGCCACTCCTCCAGGAGCACCCAGGACACATTTCTCAGGCTCCTGCTGGCACAGGGATTAAGAAGTTCCCCAGTTGTGTAAAATGGCATTCAGAAGGAATGTACCTTGACCAGTGACAAGGATTCAAATCTGCTTCTGGAGGTTCCCGAGACCACAATTCCCACACCTGGGAACTGAACTTGGAATTTTCCACGTGCTGCTCTCACG